CCATTTACCATCCATTTACCATTTCAGACCCAAATACCTAAAATTTCTTCCAAATGCAGCCACGTTTTTCGCCCTTCGAAAAATGGCAACCCCTAAAATGGGACTCAAAACTAGTCATGACAAGATCAGTCTTATATTGAAGACCTTGAAAAATGTGGCCAGTGATGGTGTGTAGCTACGATCGCTAGAATGCTGAATACTGGAATTTATGAACGGTTATTGGTTGAAACACTATTCTATTATCTCCTTGAGTAGAGAAAAACTGACATTTATTTGTATGAAATTTGTCTTTTTTACTTTAAGTTGTGATTTTTAGGGGGTAGTGCAGGATTAGGTAGTTAAATTGTGTTCTGCAGTAGGCTGGCTGCACAGGCTCTGAGTTCTCAATACCAATCATACACAAAGTGACAACTGTGTCCCTTATTGGCTATTAGGTCCCTGTCTAACAAGCCTAACTCATGACATACAAGGCACCAGTGGCTGAGCTAAGCTGTGCTGAACCCAAGTGGTGTCAGTCTCTCCCTCCAAAGCTCCAGTATGGAGCATCCTCCCTTATCAGCATTGACCTTCCCCTGCACTGTCACCCATCCTGCTTTCCTCTGCTCACCTTTACTCTAACCTTCCTCCAGCCTCCCTAGACTGTGGCCTCCAGCTCATCAGGGGGAAATTGGGCCAGCACTGGCTAGATGATGAGGCTGGACGACAGCCCCATCGATTAGCTGTCCCCCAGGGCTGATCTGTGGCTAACTGCTTGCTGGATGGAGTCTCATATCTCCGTTCTTATTCCTAACCCTCACCAACACCCCTCTCTCCTCAGAACCAGCCCCACATCCCTTTGGCTCTAAGACCACGGTGCTTCCTTTCCTCAGCTCAGGTAGTGGGAAATAACAGGTCTGGGTAGTGGGAAGGTCACGACGGTGGATTTATGTCCAGTTTAACAGAGTAAGGCCACATTGGGTGCAGACATGAGCAATCAGAGCCAATGTAGGATCCTATATTTTCACTGATAGACCAGGGACAGGAGCTATTCACTCCCCTCAGCTTGATACCATTTAAAAGTCATGCACAGAGCGAAGGGGGGGGGGGGTTGCTCTCTGGCACATACACAAGTAAGATAACTGGTGAGGCTTTCCCATTTATATTATTCCAGAAGCAGGTTCAACTTTCATTGCTTCTTTCGTGGCAAGCAAGAGATTGCTGCCAATTTGATGGTGATGATGACAAAGAGTCATCAAGAGGTGATATGTCCACATGTCCTTAGCTAACTGGCCTGTCTTTCTATCTCTGCTCTGCACTAACTGGCCTAAAACTTAAGCAAGGTCCTTAATAGCTGAGCATGGCATTAGCCATCAGAGTCCTGCAGAGTGCCTGATGAAATCAGAATAATCACTGTCCTTGCTCTGTCAGATACAGTAGGGAGGATGGATCCACAAAGCAACTGATGGCGTGGATAGATGACTGAGCGAGTACGTGTGTGTGATAGGGGTGACTGTATGTTCATACGTGATTGTAGCAATCCAACCTTCAAACACCAACATGGGCTGTGGCTGACCTGCAGGAGCGACAGATAATTACACCAGTGACCCTTGCTGACCTCGCGTTTGCCTGCTCTGTTTATCAGATTTCACATTTGACAATGTTCCACAGAGAAATCTCTGGGCCATTTGTGAGATGGATTAGATTGCTTTATTGAAGGGCCCGTGGGGGGGAGGGGGTCAATGGGGGGCTTTCATGTTTGTTTGAGGTCGGGAATCGAGATGGGACAGAGCTGGTGTAGATGAACAAGGCAGCAGATCGGTATGCCAGACAAAGAACAGGAGCCCATTTCCAGGCCAGCTGCAACGATACGCTGAGAAACTATTCAGGGAATCTTAAGTGAGATCTCCTGATAGATCTCAGGCTGAAGCTGAGAAAATTTGTGAAAGGTCATTCTATTAATCTGGAAATAAATGTTGAGAAACCCACTTAGACAAGACTTATTCAGTAACGCTGTCACTGAGAATGCATTAGACCTGCTCTGAATTCCAAATCTTTTAAAAGACAGACATCAATTAATTCTGTCACAAATGTTAGATTTATGACTTCAGAGATTAAATCTTGCTGTGCGATAAAACAGCCTACTAGTGGGCTCAGATCAAAATCAGTTTGATTTAAAACTGTACACATTGAATTATATTGCCATTAGTTACTTTCTGGGCAGTGCTGTTCCTCTAGGATGTGAACTCATGGCAAACGGAGTGATCCTTTAACTTAATATTCCTACACAGGTATCTCTCCCCACACAACAGCTCTACCAATGTAAAGAAACAAAATGGAAAACAAAAAGTCAAAGCTGAGGAACAGCTTCAATTAAAGCTGGTGCCACACCATAAATCTTGGCCAAGCCCCGGTGAAATTGTGATGGGCATCTGAACGGTGCTTGCAAGGCCACAGCGGACATGTGAAACACACTGATGTCGATTTTATTCAATAGTTCATCAACTGGCCTAATATAAAAAGAAAGATTTGCTCACACTTAAATGGGTTTTAATGTGCGGGAGCAGAGTTGGCCTGCCTGGGCCTGGCTGATGAAGATTAGCTGACTTCTTTCATTAAGAGAGGCTGTCTGGTGCAGCCAGCTGAAGTGGCAAGACAATAACCAAGTGCTAATTGTGTGTAACCAGGTCCTTTGCCTTTAGCATGCGCAACGTATCTGGTCTGTGTGTGTGTGTGTGTGTGTGTGTGGTTGCAGGAGGGGACTTGTGTCTGTGTGTGTGTGCAACAAAGCCAAGTTTGGGAAGAGATGAGAGAAATGCAGGAACCCAGCCAACACATAACCTTACTGACGTTCCCCTAAGGTTCACTGTTTGATAGTGTTTCTTGTAACCTTCAAAAAACCTTCTGGTTCATTCATTAGCTCCAAGAATGTTCCCACAAATGATTCCATCATGGTAACATGACTGCCGTCTGGGAACAAGTGCCCTATGAGACTCTCCAGAATGTTTGGGGAAATGTGCCTTCAACATTCACATAAGGTGAATGCACATGAATGTGTTACATATGTCAAGAAAAGTTTTTGGGGCCCAGGATGTGCAGGGGAGGGGCTTTCAACAAAGGGTGTGTGAATTTTTTATAATAGTGTATGAAACCCTTCCCTTCATAGTAATTCCATGTATACAGCTATTTGGATCACCATGAATGTTTTTGATGGGAGCCAGTGTTATGTTTGTCCATTCTGGGCTACTGTGGAAACATGGACTCCATGGAAGCCCTTGGCTTTTGAAGATATAAAAAGCTTATTCGAAGGTAACAAAATGATATTTTTTTTATTTTCAGGTGATTATATAACCTAACCAAAACACTGGCTCTAGACCACCACTAATTGGTGCTATTACAGGGTTGTTGTATTGGATTGAAAAAACAATGTACATAATAAACGCATTGTAGGGGTAGCATTAAGGTTCAGCGAGGATGACACTGGAGTTTATTAAAGAAGGGTTTTTATTTCAAGGGCAATGCCAATCCAAACTGCTCCGTCTCCTCTGCTGCTGTGTTAAGAAGCAGTGTCCTGAAATCTCTGACCACATCCTGTCTGCAGGATACAGGTGGAGGCCCAGTAATGAAGACTGATTGGAAGCATATGTATGGACATGCAACTGCACCTGTAGCTCCAGGCTGACACTGTACAGTAGTAGTGCAGGATTATAATCACTGTGATGGGTCCAGCATGTGTCCCTACGGCCCCAGACGTGTCTACTTAGTCACTGGTTAGAGTGATAAATCGCAAATATGGGATCTTTCTTCAACTATCAGCAGCACTTGCGATTCACTATGCTGCAATCTCGCTTCCCTGACCAGTCATCTGCCTAGATGCAGGTATGGGGAAGGACCAGGAGTGTGGTCCAATCACTCACCTCTGATTGCAGAGCTGGCATGCGAAGCAGTCCAGGTGGTAGACATTCTCCTTGGCCCTCATGACCATCTCGAAGGCTGGAATTAGTTTGCTGCAAGCTGCGCAGTTTCCTGTTACACCAAACAACCTGAGCCACACACACAAGGAAGATACATGATGTAAGTCATTCCCCAAGCCTCAGTACAGAAAAGTAACTCTGGGGGGTGTCTAGCTTAGCTCAGCTTAGCAAAATGACTGGTAAGTGGAAAACTCATATCCTAGTCTGGCTAGCAGGAATTGTTAATGTACATGTTCTATGTTGTTTATTGAAACCTTAAAGAATTTAAAAATGTATTTAATAGGACAGCTGAAGGTTGACAGGAATGGGGGGAGAGAAGGGGGATGACATGAGCAAAGGGCAACAGGTCAGATTCGAACCTATGAGGGCGCAGCTCTACCAGGAAAGCTAGAGGGTGCCCTGGAGAAAAAGAAATGTAACAACCAAGAACCATAAGTAAAACAGCTTTGGGGTTGTTTGAAGGCACTAGGCTAGCCGTTTCCAACTGCTTTCAGCCTTTGTGCTAAACTAGGCTAACACATCCCAGACTCACTTGAGAACAGCAATGAGTTATTATACAATCTTTATCGTACAACTGCCAGAAAAAAATCATTTGATTGAGGTTGAACACCATCACCGATTTTTTTTTAGTTTTAAGTGAAATACTGACATTAAAACACAGTTTATATATTTTTTCTTTATGGCTTTTATTTGCATATCTTAATATTTATTTTACGTATTTATTTTTATTTTTCAGGTGCTGGTCTTATGAATCTTGGTGTACAGGTGCAAGTCCTGCCCCTTTTTGAAGCTTGGTCAACTTTCTCCTTTGCTGTACTATGTATGAAGATAGTTAACATGATATTTACAGTCATATCGTAGCTTAGCTAATGATAGCTAATGTCAACAAAATTCTAGCTAATTAGCTAGTAATTAGCATATATGTAACTGGCCGGTAAACTATTAATGTAGATTGGCTTAAAAAATATTATTATTTGTCTCTGTAGCAAAATGTTAGCTATTAGCTAACTAGTCAGCTAACTACCTAACTAACAAGTTTTACGCTGACTGTTGACTGTATGAAATATCATTTAAGAAGAAAGCTCAATGCTGTCATACATCATCATCAGTTCATAGCCTATGTTTTGGCGACACAAAAGTTAAACACAATTTCCTTTTTCCAAGACACCCAATGGATGGTGATGAATGAATGATGCACAGTTTTATTATATTATTTTGAGGCCAGAATTTGTGAGCCGAAGGCCCTGAGCACAATGCATTTGAACAATTATGCGTCTCATTATAACCGGAAATAGTCCAAATAAATTTACAATAGCATTCTGCTGCTTCTTGGTGACTCTGAGAATGAGAGTGACAGCTGTCAAAAAGATTGTGGTAAACACACAAACATGAGCTGCTCAGACAGATAGGGTCTCTGAATCAGTAACAAAAATAGCTTGGACAGAGCTGGGCTACAGTAAAAAAATAGCAGGACCACAGCTTGTGCCATAGAAATAGATGGGACATGGGTAGCACTACTGCCCAGGGAGGACCCTATTATTTCTTTGCCTGCTCCGGGGACATTAATGTGAGTATTCATTAGGGATTCAGGGCTGCTACTACATAGTGACCTAGACCAGACTACCAAGGGAAAAAAAAAATCTGATAACGAAATCATATAACAAAATAACCTATTAGGCAGACTTCTTGCGGCACTGTTAGCCGTCGTTGTTAAAATGATAAAACGGCATGCCACTCTCAGAGTCTGTAAGAGATCGCAATCTGATAAATGATCTCAGGGCTTTGGATATGCAGGGTTGTTTATTAACCTTCAGAAAGTATGTTTCCCAGAGGCAAAGGAAGCAGATAGATTGTGCCCTCATGAATATCTACAGAATTAAGAGCCACTGTCAACACACCTTGAGACAATGAAGGATATCTCTTATAACATGGTAGGTGGGTGAAAACAAAGAGGGCCAATTCGATGGATTAGTGCTGACTTAATTAAAAGAATTATGCCTTTTCCTTTGAGCAATCTAAATTTAGATACATTTGTGGTATCTCTTGTCTTTCCTCTTTTCTGCACAAATGTGCATTGCCGGCAGGCTTTTACATGAAATAGATGAAATGATGAGTTCTCTTTTTACAAAGCCGAATAATTCATCTAAAAAAAAAAAAAAACTTTAAAAAAGAAAAAGAAATGACAGATTTAGTGTGAGATAATGAGCACGAGTGTTTGAGCACAACATAACAGCAGCACTTTGTATGGAATCTTACGACAATGCAGCCTCCTCTGACTGTGCAGGGGCAAATGTCCTTGTCTTCCAGTAACCTGAATCATTTTCAGATAGCATACACTCAAGGCTCTGGATTATAAATGATGGAAGGTATTTGTGTCAAAAAGCAATGTTGTCAGCTTGAATCAAAACGGTGTTCTGTTTCACTGTTAGCCATGTCTGTCCTAGCTCTTCTCCCATCTCTTGCAAATTTAAGATGGCCCGTGCTGTTCAAAAGCACTTTCACACTACTTTGCTCTTGAGAAATTCGGGGTGAAAGCCCTTGTATCTGTGAACATCCAGCGTTTGTGTCTCTCATCCAGTAGATACTTGAATCAAAAAAGAAACTTTAAGAAACTTTACAATAAGAGACATAATAAATATCAATTCCAAATTTATATTTATTTTATTGATAGGATTTATGTTTCACTCATATATTTTTTCTTTCCCAATACATGTATTATTAACATTTATATTATTATTATTATTATTACTAGTGATTTAGTGGCAGTGTATCTTAAATCTTTCTTTACTACAACAGGAACTTAAAACTTCTCATAACCCTACCCTTAACCCGAGTCTTTGGTACGGGCTGTTTGGCTGTGTGTCATATCCCCATTTCTGCCAGACGACACATCTGCATGACCAATCACCATGGCCTAAAAAGTACCTGGAACTGACCTTTATCAGCTCCTGAGCAGTGTCCACATTGAGTTCCAGGAACTCTTACCCAAAGTGGTCGCAGAATAGGGGGGGGAAATAAATGCTGAATCTGTGACATCGGTTGCATCTTACAAAAGTCCCTGCAGTGGAAGGGGGCTAAAAGTAGACATGGATGAAACCTCTTGTTGTTATGGTAAATGGTAAATCTCCCTGCTCTGTACTTGTATAGCACCTTTCTAGTCTTCCGACTTACACTACATGCCACATTCACTTTCACACACATTCACACAGAGATGGCAAAGCCCATCGAACATGTACAGAACAGAAACTAACTCATTCATACACTGATGCACAGCATCGGAGCAATTTGGGGTTCAGTATCTTGCTCAAGGACACTTTGACATGCAGCGGGAGGAGCTGGGGATCAAACCAATCAACCTTCTTGATTGAGTTGGACGGACCCGCTCTGTCTACTGCAGCCACAAGCAACGTCATGGACCCACGTTGTTTATGTTTTTCTACTGTCCAGGGGCCTATACTTGCCTTTTCAAGGAATAAGCTGGACCACATGGGCAACTAAAGGCATTATAAATTTACTTATTAGTATAACAGAGACATGCACTGCTAAACATGACGTTTGTTTTTACAGTACGGTGACAATTCAAGTAATCTTCATTATGGTGTCTTTTTTTTTTTTCTGGTTTTGTCTATTTTTTTATTTTTTTTTTTAAATGCCACTGTTAGCCACAAAATCTGTTCATGTTCCTTTTCAGAGTCGGTCTTGCCTGTAAACAGTTGAAACTGTTGTGTAGTTATTTATTTTTTTTTTTTAAACACCTTATTGTTAATTTTCCAATTTATCATAATAAAACAATCGAAACTCTGTTGTGGTTACAAAAACTGTGAAGGACCATATAAAAAAGAAACGAAATCCGCAGCCCCAGCGGCCGCCGTCCGGCGCGCCAACAAGGAAAAAAGACAAAGGACCGACCAACACAAAATCAACCCTGGGACAGACACTCAGGTTCAGACAAACAGACGGGACAAAAAAAAGAAAAAAAAAGAAAAAGAAAAAGTAAGGGAAAAAAAAAACTGAGTGGCGGCCGTTAACAGTGTCCTTGATTGTACAGGATGACCAAGGCAGGTTCTTACAACATTTCAGGGTTTCCAGTTCCAGACCAGGTAATTGTTTCACATAAGTTATCAGAGGGTCCCAGGTTTTGTAGAATCTGTTGATGGAACCGTTGAGGGTACATCTGATTTTTTCCAGCTTAACATTCTGCATAACGTCCCTAATCCAGTGTTGGTGTAACGGAGAAAAATCAGCCTTCCATTTAAATAAAATCAAGCATCTAGCTAATAAGGAAAAAAAGGCAATGACCCTTTGTAAATTAACAGGGGGAACAAACCCTGTTGGATCAGAAAACCAACCAAAAACAGCAACCAAGGGAGAAGGTGAGATGTTATAAGTGTAAGCATTAGAGATGACTTCAAAAGGATGACCAGAAAGGAACAAGTTTTGAACAAGACCAGAACATATGATAGGAAGTAGCCAGAGTCTGTTTACATCTATCACATAAGGGGAAATATTCTTGCTAATTTAGCTTTTGAGAAGTGCAACCTGTGTAACACTTTAAACTGTATTAGAGCATGTCTGGAACATATGGAAAAAGAGTGGACTCTAGTAAGAGCCATATCCCATTCCTCATCAGACAGCTAGGCCCCCCAAGTCATTTTCCCACTGTTCTCGAATATGTGAAATAGAGAGGTTGCAGCTATCTATGATATGGGAATAAATAAATGATATTCTGCTCTTATTCAACATATTAACCTTTAATATGGAATCCAAACAGGAAGGAGAAGGGAGTGTAGGAAAATTATCATACTTTTTACGAGTAAAATCTCGTAAGTATCGCAAAAAATTATTATTTGCCAGATCGAATTTTCTGGATAGTTGTTCAAAGCTAGAAAAAGCATCATTAAAATACAGGTCCTCAATACTATGAATGCCCAGTGTGTGTAGTTTTTGACAGTCTCATTAACTGAAACTTATAGATGTAAGCCTATCAATTGAACTGAATTTCTTACAGAGGCATAACATAGGCCTAATTATGGGACTATTGGGTTTTTGCGAATATTTTTTAGCCAACA